AATACATCTCTTAGAGATTCTTAGTTTCACAGTTTCTGAAATGACAACAGAGCTAAAACAGAAGGAAATACAGTATCAAACCTCTGCTGGTGTGATTTCATATAGCTTCCTGAGAATGGTAACATTGTGTTTATCCATTTGCATATCAACTCCAACCTGTGCAGGAATATCAATTGCTCTCCATAGCTGCTCTCATCTTTGTTTTTCTGAATGTAAGGCATGCCAGTGGTGCATGCTGATGAGCTAGTATCCTCTCGCCCACACACACAGAGGAATTGTACTCATCATTGAACTTCAATCTGTTTGAGAAACAGATACCTTTTGATTTGAGGATTTGAGAGCAGGTGTAAAGTTTTCTATTAATAAAAGAAATGACAAATCAATACAAGATTTTATTTAGAACTAATGTATTTTTAATAAGTTTACTTTGACAAGTATATAATATGCTCTCATCACTGATTCTGATGAATACATTGATCGGCAAATGAGATGCTGGAATGTGGAATGCATTAGCTCAGGCGTCCTATTTCAAGGGCTTGAATTTTGATAATCAGAATCTAATCATTTAAATGCCTTTTAATTGTCAAGATTTGATCGACAAATACGATATATGCCTGAAAATACGCATTCTAAACAGAGCACGGCATAAAATCTAAAAAAAACTGGTAGCTTCTATCTGTAGGAAAAGAATCCAACAAGAGAGAAGCACTAAAAAAAGATGGCTTAAAAAATGGATCCAAGTTCTGGAACAATATAACTATAATGAGGAACAAAGGTTCAGTTTAGAGAGGACCATACCCACAGCTGCCGCCATGAAGGCCAGGACATTGTAACACTGTTCTATATTCTCAAGGCTGATAATGAGTGCTCTGGGTATCCACGTTGTGGCTACAAGAACTGCAGTTCTTTGTACATCCTGTGCAAGAAAGAATCCTTTGACTTCTGGCTGCAGCAATGATTAGCAGAATCTAGATCTGGCATCTGCTCAAAAAGACCCATCCTATTTTTAATGTGACACACTGGGATCCTGATTGCCTTATGGCCTGACATGCCCCGTTACTTTCAGGATCAAGGACTCAGCATCAAAAGTGTACTCACATTTCTAAATGTTTTAAGAACTATCTGAAATAGGCTAGGACTTCTAACATAATGAGCATATTTGTACAAACAACCTAGAGTTGCATTGGACAGAAGTGCTAAAGGAATAGAGGATAAGCTTGAAAGAGAGGTGCTCCAGCCCCACTCCAGGTAAAAAACATATTCACATTGAGCGTTCCTCTTACATTCTGGATAAAAATCCTTTTTTGACAAAGTTTAAAAACTGGTTCTAAAGTTCATGCATAAATACAAAGGACCTAGAATAACCAAAACAATGTTGGAAAAACAACAAATTTAGAGGACTAACATGGCCTGATTTCAAGACTTATTGAAAAGCTACAGTAAGAAAGTGTACGATGGTGTCAATGTAGAAAATTAAACGGATGCAATAAAGAATCCACAGAGAGACTCACATATCTATAGCCATTTGGTTTTTTGTTTGTCAATACTGGTGTAAGAAAAAATTGAATATCCATATGCAAAAAGGTAAAACTTGACCCACGTCACATCTAAAAATTATTTCAAAAATGGATTATACATTCAAATATAAAACCTAAAATTATCCAACTTCTAGAAGAAAATCTTACTGACTTTAGGTTAGGCAAATATTTTTAAACTGGGACTCAAAAAGAAAAACTTGATGGAATAGACTTCATCAAAACTGAAAATATTTGCTAAATTTGCTGTTCAAAAGGTACTGCTAAGAAAATGAAAAGGTTGGCTACAGACTGTGAGAAAATATTTTCAGAACATATATCTGATAAAGGACTTATATTCAGACTCTATTAAAAATTCTTATAACTCCATAAGAAAAGCAAACAATCCAATAAAAAAGGCAAAAGGTACTAAAGAAGACACAAGGAAGACAAATGAGCACATGAAAATTTTCAACATCAATAGTCATTAGAAAAATGTTCATTAAAACCACTAGATACCCACTAGAATGGCTAAAAGAAAGAAAATTTTCTAAAAACAGAAGATGCCAAGTGTTGGTGAAGATGTCGAGCAACTAGATTCTTATGCATGGCTTGTGGGGATGCAGAATAGAACTGCCACTTTGGAAAATAAATTGGCATGTTTTTTTATCAATTCAAATACACACATACAATATGGCCCAGCAATTCCACTCCTAAGTACTTATCCAAGAGAAATGAAAATGTGACCAAAGAGTTGTACTCAAGTTCAGAGCTGCTTTATTCATATTAATAATTGTCAAAAACTGGAAAGAACTCAAATACCCATCAACTGATGAAGGGATAAACTATTAGTGGTATATCCTTACAATGAAATATTGTTCAGCAATAGCATAGATGTTCTCAAGAGGCTTATGTTAAGTGAGAGAAGCCAGACACAAAAGACTACATATTCCCTTTAGATGAAATTCTAGAAAAGCCAGACAAAAGGATAAAAGACAATACATACATACTGCAATGATTTTTTAATATGCACAGGAAGTCAAAAGATATACATAAAAAATGTTGACAGGGATTGTCCATGAATAGGTTGGTGATTCTTTTCTTAATTATTTTCAACAATTTCCAAATTTGTATGAGAATGTACTACTTTCATAATATGGCCTTTAAGTATACAGAAAGGAATGCAAATAACACATACAAATACCTTTCCAAGGAAGGGACTGCTAGCAAATTTATCATGATAGGTAATTTGTTCCACTCTATTACATCTACCTGTTTAGTTCATGTTTTTCTTATTATTGAAGAACTTTTCAAAAATGTTTCCTCACCGTGGAAGTAATGGTCCGAATAGCTCAGCTTCCACAAAGTGCAATTCATTTCATCAAGACAACAATGGTTGGGAATACTACCTGGGCAGGTAATTCCACAACTGAATATCAGTATTGCTCAGGTATGGAACCTTTCTCATTGTAATTGGCTTCTTCAAATGCTACATTCAGTTTGACACAAAGATAGTTCCCTGTGACAACCAGCTTATTAGCGTAGTGTTTTTTTTTTTTCTTTTCTTGCGGTTCGCGGGCCTCTCACTGTTGTGGCCTCTCCCGTTGCGGAGCACAGGCTCCAGACGCGCATCGGCAGGCGGACTCTCAACCACTGCGCCACCAGGAAAGCCCTAGCGTAGTTTTAATATGAGTTAAAGGTACAAAACTATACAAGTCATTTTCTTGAAAGTAATTGCAGAATAAGACATTATCTGTTATCAAAGCATAAGAAATGTGTTGAAAAACTAACAAAGAGGACTTCCCTGGTGGCGCAGTGGTTGCGAGTACGCCTGCCGATGCACGGGACACGGGTTCGTGACCCGGTCCGGGAAGATCCCACATACCGTGGAGCGGCTGGGCCCGTAAGCCACGGCCACTGAGCCTGTGCGTCCGGAGCCTGTGTTCCGCAACGGGAGAGGCCACAACAGTGAGAGGCCCACGTTACTGCAAAAAAAAAAAAAGATACTTACAAAGAAAACTGATGCTGTGGGAAATTTTAAGAACATTTCATATTGACAACTCAAAATATGAAATGCCTGGTGCATGTTTTGGGGAATGTTCATGCAAGATAACAGACTTTGAATATAAACAAGTACCTAGAAAACATTTTTGAATTACTTCAACGGATATCTGTTCTTTTGAAAATGTACGGATTTGTGAAGTAACTACCAGTAAATACCTGAGGGGGTATAGTTATTGAGCCGAGCTACAAAGCTATGCATTTCTCCCAAAATACTCTACTTTTGCTGACAAAAATACACAATGGAAAAGGTAAAAATTTTTTGCAATTAAAAACAGCCTGTGTGAAATCAAACTCAATCACCAAACATTATACATTATATAACATTCATTTGAACCACTAACTAAAACACAAGCCATTGCTTCATCGAAGAGATAATAGCAATAATATCGAACGTTTGGTGAATTCCTAGTACATACCAATAACTATCCTAAGAATTAATGTTTTGTATTCATTTATTAAGTACTTAGACTCAGAAACAATACTTTATATCTGACTTTACTCAGAAACATTAAATTGTATGATTGGCTTTTCTTGACCACCTCTTCCTAAATCCATTATCGAAAATATTTAAATTAAGTGACAATGTGAACACTATTTTAATGTGCCTCTTGTGGAACAAATTATCTCTTTCAGACAAAGTTACCATTAATATCAGAGGAAATACACTTACCAAACATTCCTTGGTACTATTCTAATCCTACCTGATATTTTTCGACTGATCATTGCTCTACATTATACAGTACATTGTGTCCCATTTTGACAATTCTCTTTTATTTGCATTACTTATTCTATTTATTGTCACGTATTAGTGTCTATCTAGGATGTCTATTTGCTTCATTTGAAGGTGATGGTCCCTCCAAATCTAAAAGCTCCTGGAGAATAAGGGACAGTTCTAAATTATCTTTATTTTCCTGGGGCCCAGAACAGAACACTGTAAGTGGTTCAGTTGCTTTGAGCTGAAGACCGTTAAGCACTAATGCTCAGAAAGAATTTTCCTCACCTTAGGATGCAGTCTAATAACCTTGGGAGAGTCTCAGGTGTGAGGCAATATTAAAGTGCAAGGCTGTCTGCACAGGTAATTAATAGAAGGCAAGCAGGACCGGGCTTGTTCCCTGAGAAAGTTCAATCGCGGCGTCTTTAGTGGGGCAAAACCAGTTTCCAAGTACCGCATTAAATGACCTTCCTTCCTGCCCTGGCTCAAAGTAGGTGGAATTAAGAAGCATCAGACTTCTACGTGGCATGCCCAGGCCCTGCTCTGGCTCATTACTAAGTAGATAACTTCAGGCACCTCCATTTACCTTGCCTAGTCTCGTTTTCCCCTTCTGTAATTTTGAAATAACCTCAAAGGTCTTAATGAAGCAATATAAGTAAATCACTTCCTAGCCTAGGAAGCACTCAATCAATGACAACTATTATTATTACCTCTCTGTAGTCCATTGGTAGAGGAAAGCAAAGCGGATGTTTCATTTAACCGCAGACTGGTCAGCAGATGGTTCTGTTAAGGAAGAAAACAGAGGACCTCTCAAAGGCAAGTACGGCTGGATTACTTTCACCTGGTGAACCTGTAGGACACGGTAAGCCTATCAAGGGCTTCCTGTTACTGAACGCAAGTTCATGTGCCCCATGACGCACAGTGAGGCCAAACAGCAGAGAAAGGTTTACCGCAGGGCAGGGCCATGCAAAGGAGAAAAGCGGCTCCTGCCCAAAACACCCCAACTCTCTAAAGGATTTCAGCAAAGCATTTTTAAAGGCAAGGTGAGGGAGGGCGTGGTTAGTTGTTGCAAATTTCTTGGCGTCAGAATCCTTTGATCTTGCAGCTGTCCAAGTAGGTCAGGTCACGATGTTCCTGTAAACCTCCAACAAGACAAATGTTATTCTCTGTTGTGGTGCTTTTTATCTCTGTATGAACGGACTCTTAAAGGTCAGAGCCCTGAGAATAGGCTATCCCATATATTTCAGGCTATAGGCAACATTCTTTTACAAAAGGGGCAGAGCCAACATGCCCAAGCCTGAGCAACAAAGCACAAAGGTTAAAGGAAAAGGAATAGATCCAATATGGAGTCAGATTTGTTCTTACATTACTGTTCACAAAATAGTTTTTTTTCCCTGCCCCCTGGAAGGAGAGTCACTTTTTCTGAGTTGGTGGGCGTCCTGCAGGCTCCTCTTCCAGCAGCTCCAGGTGGATGTGAGCCACAGAGGCACCAGCCCAGGTTCAGCTCCAGCTGCCGTGACCTTGAGCCTTGAGCCTTCTCCCAAAAGCCCGATGGTTATAGGGTGGAGGATCCCCTTCAGGCTCCTGGTGAAGCCACATCTAGCTCAGGAGTTGGAGTTAAAGGTGGATATTTCAGGGAGAGGGGCTGGTAAAGGCAAAGAGGTGAAAGTCCCAGCGTCTAAGTAGTTCTGTGCTGCGTGGGGAGTGGGATGGATGTGGCCCAAGATCTCTGGCTTCCAAGGTTGAAAATTGGTGTCTTCCAACTCTCTGAGCCTTGGTTTCTTCAGCCAGGCACATTTTCCATCACAACCCTTGCCTTGCCTACCTCAAAATACTATTTGATAATCAGAAAAACGAAAAGACGCACAAAACTGTATTTTGGAAATATAAGTGCTCATGATTTCCTCAAGTGCCTACTTGAGAAATAGTCAAGAGATGTTTCTCTCAGGCTACTTGAGGCTCTTAGACAAGTCACTGGACTCAGCTTGTCTGGAAAATGGGAAAGACAACTCCATCTCGCTAGATTTGTGGGAGATATGAAAATACAAATACTCTCACAGCCTTCTGCAAATTCCTAGATCAGCAAAAAATGCACCTTAATTAATTAAATGTTTCTCCCAAGAGAATACCTCAAGTTTATTATATCTGAGGCATACAGAAAGAGCCAGAAATGTTTCTGATGCAATATCGAAAAGCAGAATGGGCCCTGCTGTCTCTCTCCCTGGTCCCTCCTGGCCGCATCTTTGGGTTTGTGTTTTCTCTACTCCCATACATTTTTTTCTTTAAATTTGGTTGGAGTGTGGAATCCAGTTTTGCCATTCCTTGCTCCCTCTTTTTTCTTTAGGCTGTTCTTTTCCTAACGGATTCTCCATACTCCATTAAACCCCATACTTTAGGATTAGAAAGACCAAACATTTCTCCAGGGGACCAAGCTCTGTGCTCAGCTTGACTGGCCCTGATCCCTCCCAGGTCTGCTCTGGATGTGTTTGCTCAGAGGTGGCGGAGACCTCATTCAGTTCCTGGTTCCCTTAGAGATTAGGACTGAAGGTTCGCCAAGGGTGCATTCAGCTCACACATCCCTTCAATCTCCGTAAACATTAAAATGCAGCAGGTATTATGCCTGCAAACATCTGTGCAAAACTGTTCTGCCCGTGCTGACCAAGGAAATCAAGTCCATTAGAGCCACCAGAGCTCATTCTCACTTCCAAGAAGAGAAGACTCATAAATACTAGGCAGCTGTAAACAACAAGCAAAAATTTTTTTTAAATGCATTCTCTTTGGCTTTTGAATCTCTTTGGCTTCTGAATATGAGCAAAGTCATATGGTCTTTGACATCAGAAGAATGAAATTGAGCCACTGAGAAATGAGTAGATGAGGATTTGAATAGAACAAAATATTCCAAACCTTATCAGAAAATGCTGGACCATCCCACTCTATTTTTCCTCATATCCAACATCCCCCAAACCGTATATTCTTCCCAACAACACAAAAATGGGGGGAAAGTCATTTAAAAGATGCTTAGACATTTAGCATCACACAGAGTATGAATATTAAAGCTTTAATTTATATCTAATTAAATCCCAGTGTTTTATGGGGAGGCAGCATAGCATAGCTGTTAAGACCTTGGTCTTAGAGCCCCTCTGCTCCCCAGTATCTAGTGACCTTGAGTAAAGTATTTTAATCTTTCTGAGGTAGTGGTATATGACCAGGGACATACAATGGCAATAATTTGAGTAACTCTTTTGCTATATCATTCCATGGACGGCCTCGTACCAATTCAGAGAACTCATCCTTAAGCTCCCGTTCTTCTGGAACCACTTCTAGGATCAAAATCCGTATCAGTCAGTGTTCCATTAGAGAAGAAGAACCAGTGGGAGATAGATGATAGATAAGCAGATGGGTAGATTATAGATGATAGATAAGCAGATGGGTAGATTATAGATGATAGATGAGCAGATGGGTAGATTATAGATGATAGATGAGCAGATAGGTAGATTATAGATGATAGATAAGCAGATAGGTAGATTATAGATGATAGATAAGCAGATGGGTAGATTATAGATGATAGATAAGCAGATGGGTAGATTATAGACGATAGATAAGCAGATGGGTAGATTATAGACGATAGATAAGCAGATGGGTAGATTATAGACGATAGATAAGCAGATGGGTAGATTATAGACGATAGATGAGCAGATGGGTAGATTATAGACGATAGATGAGCAGATGGGTAGATTATAGACGATAGATGAGCAGATGGGTAGATTATAGACGATAGATAAGCAGATGGGTAGATTATAGACGATAGATGAGCAGATGGGTAGATTATAGATGATAGATGAGCAGATGGGTAGATTATAGATGATAGATGAGCAGATGGGTAGATTATAGACGATAGATAAGCAGATGGGTAGATTATAGATGATAGATGAGCAGATGGGTAGATTATAGATGATAGATAAGCAGATGGGTAGATTATAGACGATAGACAGATAGATAAGTTATTACAGAGAGTGGATTGACATTTGTGAGGGCTAAATCAGCTAAGCCAGAAACCCACAGGCCCGGCCATCAGGACAGAAGCGTCATGAGCAGCACGACACTCCGTGGGCACAAGCCAGCACCGTCATCCAGGAGTAGAATGTCTTCTCTCTGAAAGGGAAACCTCAGTCAGGCCTAACTTTAAGTCCTTTCACCTGATACAGTCGGGCCCAGGAGGGCCAGATGATCCACGTAATCTCCCTCACTCAAGGTCCAGCGATTACAGTAACTAATTACATACACAAAATACCTTCACAGCATTGGTGTCTGATTGAATCACTAGTCCAATGTAGGAAGGACTAGTCTAGTGGACTCTAGTCAAGTTGACACATGAAAACATTATCACAAATGTTTAAAAACTCCAATATCTTGGGCTTCCCTGGTGGCGCAGCGGTGGAGAGTCCGCCTGCCGATGCAGGGGACACGGGTTCGTGCCCCGGTCTGGGAAGATCCCACATGCCGCGGAGCGGCTGGGCCCGTGAGCCATGGCCGCTGAGCCTGCGCGTCCGGAGCCTGTGCTCCGCAACGGGAGAGGCCGCGGCAGTGAGAGGCCCGCGTACCCCCCCAAAAAAAATCCAATACCTAGGTATAAACCTAAAAAAACACAAAATTTACAAGACCTCTGCATTGAAAACTACAGAATTACTAGGAGAACTATGTTAAAAGATGTAAATGAATGGAAAGTTATACCATGTTCGTAAATTGAAAGTCTCAATATTGTAATGCTAACAATACTCCCCAAATTTAGTGATAGGTGAACACAATCCTACTTAAATCCTTAGCAGACCCATATATATATATATATATATATATATATATATATATATACATACATATATATATATATAAATTGACAAATGAATTTTGGCAGAGGCAAAAATCACGAAAACAATCCTGAACCACAACAAAAAGCTGGATAATTTACATTCTAGATATCAAGACTTATTATAAAGATATATTAAGACAGTATAGATTGCCATAAATATCAACAGAACAGAATAGAATTCAGAAACTGAAACATACATATGAGGTCACTTGATTTAGGACAAAGGGGCCACTCACTGCAATGCACTGGGGAAATGATAGAATTTTCTACAAATGGTTCTGGGTCAATTGGATAGCCATGGAAAAAAGTAAATCTTTATTCTTACCTCATATTATACACACACAAAAACCTGTCCCAGAGGGACTGTAGATCTAAACGTGAAAGGTAAAACAATAAACCTTTTAGAAGAAAACACATGAGAATATCTTCATGACCTTGGAGTAGGACACGATAAGCACTAACTGTAAAAGTATGTATATTTTTACATTTGTGTGTATATATATATATATATATAAAATTTAAGAATTTCTATTCATCAAAGGGCACCATTAAGAACAGAAGAGAATGTAGAAATAGACCCACACCTATATAGTCAATTGATTTTGGCAAATATGCCAAGAGAATTCAATGGGAAAAGGAAAATATTTTCAACAAATGGTACTGAAATTATTGACTCACCCTATGCAAAGAAAAAAAAAATCAACTCCTACCTCACGCTTTATTTAAAAAAAAAAAAGACAAAACCCTCAGGATGTATCATACACCAGATGATAATGGCCTAGTTTCTGATCTGAATGCTGATTATAGGGTTGTGTATGCTTTGTGAAAATGTTTCAAGCCATACACTACAGTTCTGCGTGTATACTACACTTCTATAAAAAAATATTGTGTGTGTGTGGATAAATAGACGGATTGTATATACTTTACTTAAAGCCCTAACCTACGTGCTATTATTATAAACTATCTCTAATCCACACCCTGGTTCCACAAGGAAGAAATCTCCCCTACCTTTAACTTTAGTAGTATTTATTTGTGTCGTAGACATTTGGGCTGCTATAACAAAAATGCCACAGACTGCGTGGTTTATAAACAACAGAAATTGATTTCTCACTGTTCTGGAAGCTGGAAGTCCAAGATCAGGGTGCTCACATGGTCGGGTTCAGGGACCCAATCTTATCCATCTTTGTATGTCCCATACCAATTGCACATCTTTACTTTGGGTGTACACACAGTACTCACAAATTATATATAAACCCAGATTTTTGGTAGATAAATAAATAAACCTAACTGAATACTTTGAAATCAAAAAAGCATCATTTTAAGCCTATCCTTGCTTTGAACTCACACACTGCCAGAAAAAGTAAGAAATTTCTTCTCCTTCTTTCCTCGTTCCCACCCTTTCTACTAACAACAATAACAACAACAATAATATTGCTTAGTAAATTATAGACAATTTCTATGTTTAATCATCTTCATATCAACATACTTTCTCTACTTGTCACACACTAGATTACACATGATCATATTCCATCACAAAAGTGACATCTCTTTTGTGGAAAATTTGTTTCTTTTGACTCTTCTGTGCCCTGGTATGTTTGAACATAAATACTCATGATCATCCAGGGTTAATAGGCCCCAGGTAAGTGTCATGCCCATTATTAACCCTGCCCTTTTGCTTATGAATCTCTCTAAATATTTCAGGATTGCAAATACACTTTCTTTCACATGAACTCCAGTTGATTGATAGGGATATATTGGGGTCCTGTACTGAGAAAGATTCTAAAGTTACCTTCAGTAGCAGCAATAAAATTAGTAAAGGAGATTGGACAAGTGGTACACATACTACATATTTGCCACCCCTTTTCCACGGCCTTTAATTATTTAATCCCTAAGTGAAAATTGAAATAGTCACTCTTTTATTCATTAGTTCTTCCACCCATTCAAGATATACTTTTGAGCACTGACTACACTAGGCTCCTAAGAGCCAGTATGATTAGAGAATTAGCTAAGTGCTCTAGAACATTACCTCATAGGGCCTTATAAACAAGATATTCTTTTTATGGTTTGTACCATCATTTTAACAGTGTCGATTAATGATATTTCATAACACTTCTCTTTGTTTAAAAAAATGTATTGTGTTTTAAACATTATGATATCTCATTCACCTTATATAACATTCCTGTTAATTGCAAAGACATATTCCTATACCCATTTGACAAATAAGAAACTGAGTCATAATAGAGCATAATGTACCAAACCAGAGAGCTGAATCTGGGTTTCTCTAACCATAGAATGTTAGATAAGAAAAATGTGCTGATGATCATTCTAGTATTTCTACAATAATGTTTTGTTTTTGTGACTTCCCAAGAGAAGTCCCTTTCATGATCTTTTTCTGCTCATTCACTGCATGCTTAGACTTTGCTAAGTATGAAAAGGCCAGCATTCAAACACAGGCAGGGAGTAAATTCAAATAAAATTGAGAAGCTGGCCCCAGAATTGTAATTTTAATTTTCTTCTAGAAATGCAGAGCTTAAATAGTTGTATTTTCTCCTTTCCTTCCCTTCAAGTTGAGTTTGCTTTTTGATATGTGTTCAACAAGCATACACACATGCTGATTACCCTTCGTACCTGCTAAGTTGGAGAAAAGGAGTATGTGAGTGAGTGTGTGTGTGTGTGTGTGTGTCCAATAGGAAGTAAAGAGAGAAAGAAAACTTATACAGAAATCACACAAGAACATAGCTTGGTGTTGCTATTCTCATTTGTTTCTCTTTTTTTCTCTTTTCTTTGTGGCATGGCAGCCACAGGACACTAGGAATGGCTAGAGAGAAAAGTTTTTGGTTCCCTGTGACCCTCAGTCAGAAGGCATGTCATGTAGATGGACAAAACCCTAAGATTTGGGTCATTTATTTTGAAAATCTGGTACATTTTACCAGCTGAGCATTGGTTACTGCTCCCTGAAACCAAATACATTTTCATTTTCTAGCTCTATTTTCCATGCAACTTCCCATGAAAAGAAATATCAGGCTCTCAGGAGTGATTATTTGGATAGGTAAAGGCTAGTCCCACATCCTTAAGACCAAATGACATCTCTACTCTAACCTAAATTAGACCAGTTTTGACTTGTGAATTGCAGGGTTCTGAATATTATTTTAGGTCCTCTCTTTAGATTCACTCCTTTCAATTAAATATCTTTCCTCCACGTTGAGAATTTTAAAATATTGCCCAAGTATTTCCTAGTAAAGCATTATCCCCTAAGTATTTCTTAAAGAATTGGCTAACTCTTAAAATTGTCACTCTACCAAACATTTGTGAATTTAATTAATTCATTTTCTTGACTTCATAGGTGTGATATCACACGTACAAATTATAATATACAGATCTACTTCCTGGCAGGGAGCACCTTGAGTTTAGCACAACAATCTCTTACACCACACACACATCATTCATTAGCATGTGCATGAGACCCCACTCATTAATTGGAAAATTAAACCCCCTTGTGTATAAATAAATCACACCCCTAGCTATAGAAAGGCACTTATTTTTATCTTTACATTTGCATTTCAGTACTGTCTAATAAATGCAATTGGACAGTTCTATAATATCTTTCATTGTAGCAAAGATTTGGCTTTGCTGGGAACAAGTTCCATATGCTGAACTCTGTCCATTTCAAGCCCAACAGAGTAGTGTTAGAACCATCATTATCCTTTACTCGGTCACTAATATTCCACGTCAAAAGACGCATAATCAAAGTGGAGGAATGTTGTGCAGGCACATAGGTCCTACTAGGAGGGAAAACTTTTGGCTGAGTCTCAGGCAAAACGGCCTCTTGAACTCCAAATGTCACCCTTACCTGCTTCTGTCTGTCTGAAATAGTGCATAAGCTATCATCAGTCTCTGTGTTCTGACTTCCTCAGCTATAAAATGGGATAATAATAAGACTGAGCTCATTAGGCTGTTGGGGGGAGTAAATGAAATAACAGACATGAAGTATTTGTCACAAGACCTGCCAGAGCAGAACAGAAGCTAGAAAAAAAAAGCTGAGATGATCCACCAATTAATTGGAGCCACTTAAATCTTGATAATGAGGCCCTACTGTGTGTCAATCACTTTAAGGGGTGCTTTTCTTACATCATCCCAAGCAATCCCCACAATTCTGTTAGACAGTTACTATTCCCACTGTACACATAAAACAATGTTGCAGTTTATAGGACCCTGGTTCAGAGAGTTTCAGCAGTTCTCTCCAGGTTGCACAGATTCTGATGCAAGGATTCTGGGATTAAGGTCTATGCACTTTCTCTGATAAAAAAAAAAAAAAGCTGAAGAACAAATGCAGGAGAACTTTTTGTGCTAGAAAAATACCAAAGCCCCATAAATGTTTTTTCCTCAGAGAATTTTTATAGATAATATTTAGTTTAATAAAACAGGAAAATTTTTTTTTTTTTTTTTGCGGTACGCGGGCCTCTCACTGCTGTGGCCTCTCCCGTTGCGGAGCACAGGCTCCAGACGCTCAAGCTCAGCGGCCATGGCTCACGGGCCCAGCCGCTCCGCGGCATGTGGGATTCTCCCGGACCGGGGCACGAACCCATGCCCCCTGCATCAGCAGGCGGACTCTCAACCACTGCGCCACCAAGGAAGCCCAGGAAAATGTTTTTAACAATATCATCAAGTATGGAGAGATTCAATGATAGAAACTAGAATATTAGGCATCTTTAGCATTGAATAAATGAGTTTCAGAGTAACTCTGTTACCTTGCCAGCCATCTCAGCTCAAACTTGTCCTGCTTCACACGTGGGGGATAAAGATAACCAGTCAAATTTTCTATTTGTCAAAATTTCCTGGTAAAACTGCCAGAATGCCTAACTTAGTTTAAAAAAAGAGAAAGAAAGAAAAGGGTTGGTTTGGGATACAACCTACAAAAGAACAAGGATGCTTTTATCCGCATTTATACAGAGATTTTTTAAATGTTTACTTGTAATATGATTAGTGTTTGAAAAGATTTATCTAGTATAAAAATAGTTTTAAAGTTGTAAAAAATGTTTTAAATAAATAAGAGGCTCTGAGAACCATCTAGCATTTACAACATTGTTAAGTACTGATTGAAGTGTCATTTTAGTAAAGCTCCTAACATTTCTTGCATAAACTAGTGCCCTTATATGTCGACATAAACACTTTCTCCATTGCAAACAGTATGTAGTCTTGGCTCTTAACAAAGATGGATACCTCGAACAAGGGATTAGTATTAGCATTTCTTCACCAAATGGTGAAAATTCATTATGACCTTTTCCTCTAATATATCGTTGTATAATCTATATTATATTTAGACCCAAGAAACTAGTATAAGAATTTCCATGGGGAGAAAGGTGGCATTTTATTGTAAGTCAGAGAGATTTTTCCATACAGGCACTGCTACCCTTCCTGTATGTATAAATTAATAGAAGATTTTTTTAAAACTTAGTTTAAAATATATATATATATATATATATATATATAAAACATATATAAATATATAAAACACAGAGAGGACATTAATACTATTTTGTATTTTTTCTCAAACTCAGTGCAGTCCTGTTCTTTGATTTGTATGTTTTTGTATCTATCACCACTCCGAGTACCTAAGATGCTAAAATGCTGGATTCTGAGACATAACCATTAGGATAGTTGTTACATATTTAATTTCATGCTCCACTCGGCATAAAGCAGTGGTGGGACTACAGACCAAAGCAAATTAAGTGGCTTCTTAGATAATTTCCTGCTTAATTGAAAGCAGGTAGCTTTTTAAAAGTAATAATTGGCATTGTTTCAAATGATTGTAAAGTTCTTTCTTTTTTTTTTTTCATACATGGTTATAGGGTAACATTCTACTTAGTCCAAGCACAATGGGTTGGGAGTCTCCCACTAAGTCTAAGGGACAAAAATGTGACCTAGTTCTGGTGACAAATGAATGGAACACTCCATGGAGGCGTGTGGATAAGGAGCAAGGTGGAGGAGAAAAAGAAAATACACACATATACACATATATGTACACATAGATGTATCTTTTTTTCATTAACATGTACAATAAATTAGATTTCCTTTCTATCACCCTGCTTTACTCTTAGCATTGGTTTAATGTTAGCAAGTGGTCAGTTATGAGATTGGTAGCCCCAGTTCATATCTAACAGACAGGGCTTCCTCATTACAGTATAAAACTAACCTTCAGCTGTGCTATACTCTATGTGACTATAGGAGATGCAGTCCTAGAGTGAGTGAGTGTGAGCATACTAATAAGGAAGACATAAAGGAATTAGTTTTGATATAAATGCCTCTATAATAAGTAGACTATGGAGTTCCGTTTTGCCAGGAGTCAGTATTCAGAACTTTTCAAATAAATTAGATCTGCTAAAAACCTTTTAAGTTACAAAAAAGAGGGAATGCTTTCTTGTTGCCTAGATGTAAGAGAAAAACAGAGAGTCAGAGAGAAAGAGAGACAGAATGAGGCAGAGAGAGGAACAGGTGTTCTTCAGAACCAAACATTTTAAAACACTACAAGGGAAATGCACACACTGAATGTTTACATTCAATTGCCAAGACGACTCATGCAACTGCTAATGGTGTACATCAGCACCCTAGAGCCATGGGATAAGTGCTAGAGGTGCATTTTTGGTATTTACTAAAATTCTAACTTGTCCGAGTCTCCTCTCTCTCTCTCTCTTTTTTAAAATTGAAGTTACAGTGGATTTACAATGTTGTGTTAGTTTCAGGTGTGCATCATAGTGATAGTGATTCATTTTTGTTTTGTTTTTTGACAGATTATATTCCATTATAGGTTATTACAAGATATTGGGTATAATTCCCGGTGTTATACAGTAAATCCTTGCTGTATAAGGATAATAATAAGAGGATATGAAGTTCTAGAAAGAATATGAAACTGAAAATTCAAATACTGGCAATAACTGCTCTAGACACTAAGGATGGTGCTAAGAGAACTCCATCAGGTACCTCATAAGTTATAAAGATAGTCTTAGGGAATATTAGTTTTGAAACTGGTTAGGTTCTCAGTTTCTTCTCATATTTTGGCATATTTGACATATTTTGGCATTCTTCCAACATTACTCTCCTCAGTACTCAATACAATTTTTCAGAGATTCCTAAAGGAAAAATCAATAGTTGGTTGTTGCTTGAAAAGATGATGCCTGAGTTTCTGGCTTGAGTATCTGAATTAATGGAGATGCTGTTTAATGAGACAGAGAACACAGATGAGAGGGAGAATTTAGGCCTGTTGAAATTGAACAGCCAGCGACACATCTAATTGGAGATATCCAGTGATAATTAGAGACCCAATCCATGAATCTGGATTTAAGAGAGAGATCTAAAGACATACATTTGGAATCTTTTAGTTTTTTCATACCGCTTTGAATTGGACAACATTATCCAGGGTCAGTACATAAAGGAAGAAGAGTGCAGAACCTCACATCACACGAACATTTAAGGACTAGGTAGAAAGAAAGAAAGAGAGAAAGAAAGAGAGAGAGAGAAAGAGAGAGAGAGAGGAAGGAAGGAAGGAAGGAAGGAAGAAAGAAAGAAAGAGAAAGAAAGAAAGAGAGAGAGAGAGGAAAAGAAAGAAAGGAAGAAGGGAGGGAGGGGGAGGTGGGAGGAAGAAAAGAAAGAAAGGAAGAAACTCTCAAAAGAAAATGAGAAAGTAAAGAGAAGTAGGAAGAATTTTACTTAATGAAATTTCCAGGCCCTTAACCTCTAACTTTCTTCCAGCCTTTCACTTACTGTTTGTGCTCTACTGCCTTCCCTATTCAATCCCATTACAATCACTTTTACCTCTCCTTTGCACTGTCAATAGTCTTTCTTATTGACTTAAACCACTACCCTACCATACTTTCTGCTTTGGATCAATTTTTAAAAATCCACATTTTTATAATATATTTACAACGATATCTTCCCTATAACTACCTTTCTGGCTGTTACTGAGCCTAAGAATAAGAGACTTCCAAGGTACGCCCAGCCCAAGTATTTAGCTTGCATAATCACTGTATAAGTGCTATATTGAGTATGACAATGGGAGGAAATACTAATATTTAAACATATATCATTTGTTAGTCTTGCTCTCTGATACATCTTTTACGTATATTTACTCTTAAAAACCATGAATTAATTTTACTGGCTTTTAAAAAGCTAAGAACCTTACCCCAAATCTCATTAAAATACAGATATCCTGCTTCCAGAAGTCTTGTCCATGCCACCAGTCTCAGCTGCCTTCCAAAGAATAAGAAGGTATTATTCCCTCCGTCAAAGTATTTTCTCTGTTGGGAAAGATGAAAATCCACTTATACTAAAATAATTTGAAAATGGTACAAACCTAACAGAAATAGATACTGAGACCCCTTCATAATCTACAATGTACCACAAAGAGGTATAGCTCAATGGTTCTCAACTCTGGCTGTACTTTTTTAGAATCACCAATGGTGGTTTTAGAAAACATTGGGTCTTTCCAGAAAGATGCACCAGAAGTACTTTTCCCTAGTCTTTCTCCTAAGTACAACTAAAAACACATTGTGAAAAATAAGCATAAAATGACTGAAGACAAGGTGAAAAGAAGTAGGCCAGTAGGGAAAGCCAGTAGGGAAACTACAAAATGCTAAGGAAAGGAATCAAACAAAGTCTAAATAAGTGGAGAGACATACTGTGTTCCTAGATTGGGAGACCCCATATAGTAAAGTTGTCAATTCTTCCCAAATTGATATACAGTTTAACACAATTCCTATCAAATATCCCAGCAAGGTTTATTCCAAAATGTGTATGGAAAGGGAATGGAACTAGAATAGCTTTTAAAAAACGTACAAAGCGAATGGTATCGGAGGAATCAGGCTACCCAATTTCAAGGCTTATTACATAGCCACAGTTGTCAAGACAGTGTGGTGTATATGGAAAGATGGATATATAGGTCAATAGAACAAAACAGGGAAGCCAGAAATAGACCCCCACGAATACTACCAACTGATTTTTCCAAAGGTACAAAAGCAAGTTAATGGAGAAAAGATAGTCTTTTTCAACAACTTGGACGTTCACAGGCAAAATATGCACCTTGATTTAAATGTTACACCTTATATAATAATTAACTTAAAATGGATTATAGACTTGAATGTAAACTGTGAAACTGTAAAACTTTTAAAGGAAAACTTAGGAACAAGTCTTCAAGATCTAGGACTTGGTGGAAATTTCTTAGACACGACACCAAAAGCATGACACATTTTTAAAAATCAAAAGATTGGACTTCCTCAAAATTAAAAATTTTGCTCTCCAAAAGAGTCTTTTAAGAGTATAAAATGACTGGGACAAACTACTTGCAAACTGCATGTCTGATAAAAGACTCATATCTAGAATTTATGAACAACTCTCAAAACTCAGCAGAAACAAAACAATCTAATGAGAAAATGGGCAAAAAACATGAAGAGAAACTTCACTGAAAAGAATATGTGGATGGCAAATAAAGACATAAAAAGATGTTCAACATCACTAGTATTAGGAAAATGCAAATTAATAACATCATGGTGAGAAATCACTGGACACATATCAGAACAGTTAAAATAAAAAATGCTGGCAAGGATGGGAGAAACTGGCTGTCTCATGCATTACCGTTGGGACAGTAAAATAGTACCGCATTTCTGGAAAATAGTTTGGTAGTTTCTTAAAAAACTAAACATATACTTACCATATGAGCCAGCAATCACACTCCTGGGCATTTATCCCAGAGAAATGAAAACTCATATCCACAGAAAAACCTATACATGAATGTTCATAGCAGCTTTATTTAGAACAGCCCCCAAGAAAGGAAACAACCACAATGTCCTACAATAGGTGAATAATTAAACTGATACATTCATATGATGAAAAACATCTCAGTAACAGAAAGGAATAAACTATTGTTACATGCAACAACTTGTAGGGATCTCAAGGGCATTACGCTGAATGAAAAAAGCCAATCTCAGAAGGTCACAAGCTTGTATGAATCAATTTATATAACATTCTCAAAAGGACAAAATAATAGAGATGGAGAATAGACAAACGGTTGCCAAGGGTTAGGGATGGTGTGTGTGTATGGCAGGAGACTAAAAAGGGACTACACCAGGAAGATCTTTGTTGTGTTGGAATAGTTCCATGTCTTGACTGTGCTAGTGGTTATAAGAATCTGCAAGCGATGAGAAGACACAGAATTATAGGAACACTTTATACCAATGTCAATTTCCTGATTTTATAACTGTTCTATAGTTATGTGAAATGTAAACAATGGTGGAAACAAAGTAAAGGATATATGGAACCTCTTTGTACTATCTTTGCAAATTCCTGTTAATCTATAATTCGAAATAAAGTTAAAAAAAAAAAATAGATGTCCAGGCCATACTGCAGGACAAGTAAACAAAAATCTCTAGGTAAGGAACCTAGCCAGCTGTATTTTTTAAAAGTTCATGGGGTAATTCTAAAGTATGGCTAAGGTTTGGAACCACTGGCAGTTCATGCTATTACTGAAACTACAGGGACTGAAACACCTGTGATTAAGTCTAGTTGAAGATAGGAAGGAAGAAAATAAATATGCAAATCTATTTTAGGTCTCTTGAGGGTCTCCCCCCACAATGTTGAAACCTGGCATTTAAGAGAATCCAAATAATGTGGATGGGATAATCAGTCATCTATTATGTTATAGACCATTTTATACAAAAATGCCAACCCCAATAGACTGTTCTTTTGATTCTAAAGCATTTGGTATCGATGTTACAATTTTCAAACGCTAAGGAGCAATTACAATCACATTTAAATATGCAGCAATTTTAGAAAATTAATGTTTCACTAACTCCTCATTTTTGATGGGTAACAAAATGAGTTCGAGGGTTTAAAAAAAATAATTTAACAAACTGCTGACTGCTACCAGCAGTTTCCTGGGAAACGTGAAAAGTAAATATTCCAATCTTGAACGTGAATTCTAATATATTAGTTATTTTTACTAACGATCATTAACTACCACGTAGTAGTCTCAGAACTGTGCCTAGTGTGGTTAGTAATCATTCCTTAGCACCATCATGAAAAGATACTCACCGTGTATCTATTCAATTGGGTCAGGAGATTGAAAGTTTAGGAAAGAGTCCTTCTCTGCCTTCGAAGGGTTTAAAATCCGTTTGAAGACAGAACCAAATATATAAACAATAAATAAAGCAAAGATGGATATGCTGAAATCTGGACTCATAAAGGGGCCAAAGTGCTTGTTTTTACTGGAGGTATTTTTGCAAGAGCTAGAAAGGGAATTTGTATCCTCTGGGCTCAAGAATCCCGCAGATGAGCAGCTTCGGCAATGCAAATTTATGCTATCCGTGGGAGGGTTTCGCTTAGTTCTCAGCTGTGGACTTACTTCCAAAAATGCAGCTGTTCTGAAGCAAGAGGTTTGTCCAAAAAAAGTGAAATACAGCATAAGGTATTACCTTCCATCCAACCCTGGTCAATAGCTAACTACTTCCCTCCCTTCCGCCCTCCCACACCCACCTCCGCCACCTTCAGGGCTTAAAGATTTTTGTATGGCGGGGGGAGGGTGGAAGTGGGTTGCATACTGAACTATTTGCCTTACTTCGAAAACCACCGGCCTCTTCCATCTCTCCTCCTCTCTCTCTCTCTCTCCCTCCCTCTCTCCTTTTCTCCTAACCTCGCTCCCTCCAAATACGACCCTCACGCACCCTCCATTCTAATTTACAGCACTACAACTTCCCAGATCTGTTTTCTCTTCTGGAAGGATTTATCCTTTTGGAAGCGTTCAGTTCCTAACTGTCGTGAAGTCTGATTTAAAAGCAAAATAAGAAGCACTACGTTTTAAGAGGGGATAGTGCAAATTCTTATTAAAAAGTTGTTTTGTGATTGTGGGAGATAATCAACACCTACCCCGGCATTCTCTAAGACAGCTGAGGTTTACCATTTTCGCTATTCCGGCAATAAATATTTCCTCCTTTTGCTCTACGCCTTTTGGCAGGAGTCTTGACTCTGCAGGTGTTAGCGCTGCAAGGGCTGAACCCAACCGCCAATAGGGCTGCCGAGCCTAGCATGGGATGCTGCCCAGCAAAACACAGAGCCCAGGGAGACCGCGACGGAGAAGGGAGGCTGCGAGCACGCTTCAGAAGAGATTGGGACTAGAGCCCTAGAAAACTAGAGAGAGTGCATTTCCCGGCAGGGGGAACCCGCAGGAGCCTGGAAAAAGAGAAAGAGACAGAGAGAGAGAGAGAAAGAATGAAAGAAACCCACCCCCGCGCTCTTGGGCTCAGCGCGAGCGAGAGAGCGCTCGGGCTGCCGGGGCTGCTCCAGCTGGAAGTCATTGCGCCGGGTGGCGTCGGCGTTGTCACGGCGACCGCCCTGCCGGCGCCAGCGGAGGGGGGGAGGCGGGCTCGGTGAATGGGTGACGTCACGCGGCCGGCGCCAGGCAGTCTGGGCGGCCGAGCCAATGAATCAGCTGTCGGGGGAGAGAGCGCGGCGCGCGGGAGGAGGGTGCTGGAATGCGCCGGGAGCCGCGCGGCCCGGGCGCAGGGAGGCGCTCCGCTCCGTCCCGCCCCGCCGGTCCCGGGGCGATTGGCGCGTTCCTGGCGAAGCTGGGCTGGCGCTCCCTTTTCCTCGCGCCGGGGCTGCCGCTGGGACCCCCTAACTTTGTGCCAGTTCCCCCACCGGCGCGCGCTCTGCAGGGAGGCCCGGGAGCTGGGCCTGGTACGGTTAGAGAGGACTTGTTTTCCAGCTATTGTAACTATGCCATTTACTCATTAAAAAAGGGAAAACAAAATAAAACTTGTCCTAGTAGATAAAGTGGACTTTGAAAGTGTTGAATTGCTTCACTGTGGCCTTACTGTGTGCTCTGCATTGTGCTGGAATCACAAAAAAAGAAAAAATCAGGGCTCACAAGAGTTTAAGATTGTACAGGGAAGAACGAAATGTAACAAATTCATGATTCAGGCCTGGAGCCGACTGCGTTTTCTTCCATTATTGCATTGTGCTGTACTATACAGTGTCTTTAAGCGTCTGGAAGGTGAAGGCTCCAATTTTTCAGTGCTTTTGTTTTGTTTTTCCTCTGCCCTGTCTTGCTGTCCATTAGACAGTGACCTCCAGAAAGCCAAGTACTGGGTCATGGCTATTTTAGCAGCCCCAGCGTTTAGCACTCTCTCAGACAGGGTAAGCAATCTAAATTGTGATGGATAATCTACAATGCAAGAGCAAATAATCTTTGAGTAAAGGCTTGCGTCAAATGAATACCCCTGAATTCCTAAACATCTATTTTGGGTGCTTACTTGTTGGCTTTTGGTGGTGTCAAGAGTGGTGATGCATCGTTACTGAAACTGGAAAACTAAAGAGTATGGCCTGAACGTTAGAGAAGATGTCCAATCTGCTGCAGTCATTCCCCTCTCTGGGTTTCTTCATCTGTAAAAGGAGTAGACGTGGTGAGATGTTCTCTTAAGACCCCTAAAGTTCTATAAGCCCATCATTGTATTTATCAACCATTAAAACTAAATTTGAGTTTACTATTCCTATTCCATTGTGGTAAACACAATGATCATTCATTCAAACACAATGATCATTCATTCAACGAACAGTTCAGGGTGCCTGAACTCAGTATGTGAGTACTAGAAGTTTTGGTTGAATTTTTTTTTAAGTTAGAAGATAGGATCTCTGACCTGAAAATCTTTAAAGATATGCAAGTAAGAAATAAACTAGAGGACTTCCCTGGTGGCGCAGTGGTTGAGAGTCCGCCTGCCGATGCAGGGGACGCGGGTTCGTGCCCCGGTCCGGGAAGATCCCACATACCACGGAGCGGCTGGGCCCGTGAGCCATGGCTGCTGAGCCTGCGCGTCCAGAGCCTGTGCTCCGCAACGGGAGAGGCCACAGCAGTGAGAGGCCCGCGTACTGCAAAACAAACAAACAAAAAAAACAAAACAAAACAAAGAAATAAACTAGAAACCAAAAGAAGACGCTAATAAGCTGTTACAGACCAGTGCATCTCAAAGTTTGATGTGCATTCAAGTCACCTGGCATCTGGTTGAAATGCAGACTCAGGTGCAGGTTGCAATTCCAGATGTATTACAGGCGTCCAAGTGTTGCTGGCCCATGCACCACAATTTGAGTAAAGAGCATCTACACTACAAAGTAGTAATCATGTCTTAAGTAAGTATATGATGGGTGTAAGGTGGTGTTATTTCCTGAAAGCCTCTGGAGGAGGTGAGTTTGAGCCAAGTGTCTGAGGATGTGACAGGCTGAGGGGAATGAAAACACTTTCAGGAGAAGAAACAGCATAAATAACGACAGACACTAGAGGGAAAGGAGCAAGAAATTAGTAGGGCAGTGGAGAGGATTTTGTTTGACTTCAATTAAGAAATATTTTGGAGAGCTACAAAAGATGAGATTGGATATTTGCTGCTGGGGGATGGGTAGTATGATAATGAAATAGGGAATTTACAATTTTAGAGCTGAAAAGAACCTTAGACATTATTAGCCCCAACTAATTTGCTACAGATGAGGAAACTGAGTAGCAAAATGATTGCATTAGGTAATGGCAGAGCTCGGAGTGGAAGCCAACCTGAAAATTGTAGATTGCATATATTCTGTAGATAGCAGAGCTCTTGATGGAAGGAAAACCATTTGTTATTGTTGGGCAAAGTGGAAATATGAAGGAAGAATGAAAGCAAGAGAGACAGACCTATAGGAAATAATTTAATAGTCGAAGCATGGAGTTTCAGATAAGGTCTGGGAGATGAGGAAATAAAGGGAAAGATTTAATCTGAAAAATTTTGGTTTTATATAAGTTATAATGCCTGAAACCAGCTGATTAAGTCATCTTTTTTCCTGTAAGAGAATTCCCTCCATCCTTCTCATATTCCAATCCAATGTTTTTCAAACCTGACTCACATAGGCATCACCCCAGTAACTTAAAAAAAAAAAAAAAAAGAATGCCTGGGCTCCACCCCACATGAATTTAATCAGACTCTCTGGGAGTAGAGTCCCGGCATCAGAATTTTTAAAAGCTCCCCAGGTGATTATAATGTCCAGCCAGTGTTGAGAATCCCTAATCCTAATATATAGTCAGCAGCTCATTTCAGAGACTTCATTTCTGCTCCTGAACATTTCCCCTAGTGCTAACTATTATACGGTAGTTACAATATCATTTTTAATAGTTGGTAGATTTTGTGGTGGATTTTGATGGTTTATAGCACATTCTCTATGCTCAATGTCTTCTATCCCTCATTACTGTCATGGCTTAGTTGTGAACATATCCTGATATCTCTCATTGGCAAGAAAAGGAAAAGTGATTTGGCACATTATTGGATGGAAATGATAAACCCGGTCTATGAAACTATATGGTACCATAGTGTGGCAGTGTGTTGCCTTATAGTTATTTTATCTTAGCTTTAACAATCTACATTAATAGCCTCTTTAGGATTACAGCTGATGAAAGAGGTAAGTACGTAAAATACCTACTTGGGGGGCTTCCCTGGTGGCGCAGTGGTTGAGAGTCCGCCTGCCGATGCGGGGTACACGGGTTCGTGCCCCGGTCCGGGAGGCTCCCACATGCCGCGGAGCAGTTGGGCCCGTGAGCCATGGACGCTGAGCCTGCGCGTCGGGAGCCTGCGCGTCGGGAGCCTGCGCGTCGGGAGCCTGTGCTCCGCAACGGGAGAGGCCGCAGCAGTGAGAGGCCCGCGTACCGCAAAGGAAAAAAAAAAAAAAAAAACCTACTGGGACCCGTGGAACTTTTATTTTCAGTCTTCTCTCGAAAAAGTTTTAGTTTTTGCTGAAAAAATAATCCAGAAAGTGAAAAGTCCTTGTGGCTTTTTCTTTGGTGACTAACTTAACTTTTAAACTTGCATGGATTCATTCATTTCCCTAAAAATAATTGAGTACCTACTATGTGCAGGTATTTTTTCAGGTATGAGGATGCCAAGAAACGAAAAGCAATTTTTCTGTCTTCAAAGAGGAAAGGATAAGCACAATTAATTTAAGGTATTTTATTTATTCAGTCTGGACATTTAAAAGGTACTTGACTTTTCCACACCATCTTACAGCTGCATTCTGTATTTTTAAAAATTCAATTCATTCAGTTAAAAAAAAAAAATCTAATGCATCTATGTGTTCAAAAACCAGATGAAAGAGAATTTTCCCGTTCATTCTTGTCCTACATCTGCCTAATTTCCCACTCACACCCCACAGAAGTTGCTATTGTTAATTTCTTGTGTACCGTTCCAGAGTATTTCTATGAATATACAAGCAAAGAGAAATAGATTCTTATTTTCCACATTTTTACATTGTTTTGTAACTTTAATTTTAAAATATTGCAAGGTTTTTTTTCTATATCGGCCACATTCTTTTTCATTTTGTTATACCTCCATAATATTCTATTGTCTAGAAGTACCATAACTTATTTATCTTACTCCTATTGATGGTGACCTACGTTGTTTACAATCTTTTATTACAAAGCTGCATAAATAACCCTGTATCTGTGACATTTTACACGTGTGAGTTTATTTGTAGGAGAAACTCCTGCAAGTGAAATTACTTGGTCTCTAAAGAGTGTATTTAACATTCCTGACTCTTTCTTTAAGCTAAATTCCTGGGCACGGGATTGCTGAATTGAAAGGCGTAAATATTTTTAAGGTTTTGATATTTACTGACAAATTGCCATCTGAAAAGTTTGTGTTGATTCATATTCTCACTTGCATAGTAAGTAAGTACCCATTTCTCTGAAACCTTGCCAGCACTGGAAGTGAATTTTTTTCTTTTTTTATAAATCTTTGTTCATTTACTAGGTAAAGAATGGTTATATATATATATATATTTTTCATTTTAACAGGCATTTCTATAACTCTTAGATAGTTAAAATTTGATTCCATTCGCCACTGCATGATCAGGGACTTGTTTGTTCATTTCACTTGTCCAGTTTTGAAGAATTTTTATTTTTCTTACTGATTTTCAATAAATGGCTTATATTTATTAATATAACTAATAATAATGGCACATATTTATTAAACCTCTACCTTGTTCCAGGTGTTGTGCTGTGCATTTTTAATTGGTCCTGTATATTGTAAATATTTTATCTGAGTTTGGTATGTGTCTTTAATCCTTATTCCAACAGTATTTCCACCTAAAAACTTACAGAGGCTTTAAAAATTATGTGATAAAATAAATATTTTATGTTTTTTGTCACTTTCCTTTAACATATAAAAAGTCCATGCCATTCGAAAATCAGATTAGCCTTCATCTTTATTTTTTCAAATTCCTGAAGGATTTTGAATAATTTTTTTAAACCCAGATCATATATACACACATAAACATGAGTATTTTCAGTTATCTACCTACAATGTAACTATCTTTTCTGTTTTAATAAAACATTTATATCCTTTTTTAAAAAATTATTTAAAAAAATACAGATAACTAAAAAAGGGGGGGACTCAGATTATCCACAATCTCACCAACCTGAGACAGTCCTTATTAACATTCAGAGTAAATCCAGATGGTTTTCTATACACAAATATCTATGTATAAATATATGTATATAAATACATATATATACACACATATATATTTTACAAAAATGGCAGTACACTATGCATATATTTTGTAACTCACTTCCCCCACTCCCCTTAGCTACACACAGGTGAATATCTTCCTATGTCAATAGCTCTACATCCTCATCATTAGTCATCCATTGTATGGAGGAGAGCTCTCTAATGAGATAATTTGGAAGGCAACCTAGGCAGAAGCATTCCAGGAGAAACCTCACAGGCCTGTTCCGATGTTCATCTGATCAGAATTTCCCAAGGCAATTTAATTCTATTGTTTCTCAAAGACTTTCAGTTTCACTGAGGGCCTAACTGCCAGCAAAAATGGCTAACATAGCGGTCAATCATTAACCTACCCCAACAAGAGACAGCTCAGAAAGAAAAGGAAAATCCTTTCTTAGCAAGGCATGGCTCAAAATAGTCCTCTAGACTTGTTTTCTTCAGTTTGCTTTCTCTCCTCTTTCCCACACTTCCTTCTCTTTCCCCTACCCACTTGACATGCATGTCTCCTTTTAGATAATTTTAAACTTATGCCCCTTATTCATTTCATAACAAAAGTAATGACAGGATTTGCTCTCCCAGAGATCTGACCTTAGGTTTGTTCTAACTGCAGCAGTAGCATAGACCCTTCCATCAATTATGAATGTATTCATGTGTGCAGAGGCTATAGTAGGCCAATGGTAATGTTACCTTATTCTGGAGACTTACCCTTATAAATAAATAATGAAATGTTTCTGTGAAATGCCTTTAGCAAAGGCAGGAGAAAGCATTACTTCTCAAAAGACTAAACATTTTAAAGATTAAAAACTTTAAAACACCCAGAGTTCCTCAAGAGAATATAAACCATTTATATGAAAAGAAAGAAAGAAAGAAAAAGAAAGACATGAACTGGAAACTCTATAATGCTCAACTGAGTAGCCAAAGTTCTCTAGATGGCAAGTGTAGACTCTAAGTGAACAATCAGGAATTCCCTGGTGGTCCAGTGGTTAGGACTCAGTGCTCTCACTGCCAGGCCCCTGGTAGGGGAACTAAGATCCCACAAGCCACTGGCGGGGCCAAAAGAAAAAAAAAAAGGGGGAGTATAAGTGAACAGTCAGAGAACCTAAAATAGATTCTTGGATATGCAAGGACACATCTCTGTACCTCCAAACATTTTCTTACATTGTACATTTAAAAGAATAAAATCTCTACACTTA